GAAGTGTTATGTTGGTCATGTATATCAATTTTGACAGTTTAATCGATTAATATTTTTTTTTCTTTAATGTGTCATTTTTTTTTTGTTTATCTTACCTTTCTATAATCTACTACTGCTGTCCACTGCTTGCTTTCCTGTCTTTACTTCAACCCTTATAAACAATAACTAATATTATATTTATTACAAAATCAAAATTGGATGTCATAATTATATTCGGTTTAGTTTATGAATAATTTAATACAATAGTAGATATAATATGTTACAAAAATTACACAACAAAGTGTAGTAGTAATAAATATTAAAAAAAAAATCCAACATACAAAATTTTTATTTCAAACATTGTCGAAAAAATAAGTGTGCACGACGCACCTTTTTAGTTTCTTTTTTAATTTTATTAAAAAGATGTTTTGTAATTTGAAGTCTGTGTCAATTTAATTTTGTTTTCGTTCGCTTTTTTGCTTTATTGGTTTGCTTTGTATATTTTTTATATAATTATATTATCTTTCTAAAACACCGTGTTTCCATACCAGCATACAATCCTATCGCCCACAATAAGTACAAACATTCAAAATTTACGTAACAATGTCACATTAATAAATTCCTTAACAAACAGTTTCACATGAGTACTAACACAAAGCCAAGGAAAACAGTTTTATATAAATGACTGCTCTACCAGTTTAATAGTGGCTAAAGCTAAAACCGATAGGACCAATAAAATGTACAAAAATAAAGCTCAGCCGAGACGGGCAATGAAATTAAATAAACCGATCCGGTGCATGTATACACATGCGGCAACAAAGAACTATTTTTAGTACTACGGAACAAGTGTTCGTGCAGTGTACACAAATTGTTGGATTATAAAACTAAACAAACGTAGAAACGCTAAGTACTAGTTGCATTTGTATGCAGTAGGTTCCGTACTGTTTATTATTAAGGATATGATGTTATTATAGTGAAGGTGATTGACCCTAATTTTAAAACTTATATTTATATTTTAATATTGGCTTTATACATGCACAATGGGAAATTTACGAACTTACTACATTTGTCATTTTCGACAATTATTTTGACTTCATACGGGAATCGAAACACTGTGACGCAAAGCACCGTACGCCCTCTAAAGAAATCTTCCAGATAAAGTCTTCCAGATAAACGACAACGACAGTAAGTTTGTAAAATTCACATTGTGCTGATTTTTGTCTATCTCACTCTAATATATTTGTTATTATGTTTTTTCTCTTTTATATTACCAATCTATACTTTATAATCTAAATTGTAAATCCTTCATTTCATTACAGTACATTCCTACTTAACAAATACATTTAACCAAGTCGCTATGTTTTTTACTAGATAAAATGTACTTTGTAAAGTCAAATCTATAAATGATAGATTGAACTTTACAAAGTCTATCATCATGCGGTTATCACTATAAATTTTCATTATGATTAAAATATTTTTTCATTTCGTAGCCGCCATGTTACGGTCTAAATTTAAGAAACAAATTCCGGAAATTGACCTGGACGGACATTATGGTCCGTGGCCTTTACCTTTAATATTTTGTTCCCACTACATATGTTTAGGCAACCAAGCCTAGATTACATCCACAATCTACTTGTAATATAAAGATATTCTCCTTCTGTGGTTTGTACGTACAATTCCAGAATACACACGGACTTACCGCAGATACTAATTTTAAACTATAACAATAGACTCAAAAAGCAGTACTCAATGTGGACTTTAGACATCTTTGACGTTAATTTACATACACATCATCATCATCTGGGTACAGAGGAATAACACCTGAGTCCTCAGGAATGGCAACACACGGGGGTATCATGGGCGAAACAGTATACTCTGTTATGTCCATGGTACTGCTCATGTCTATAGGCGACGGTTACCACTTTCCATCAGGTGGGCCGTCAGCTTATTTGCCATTCTAAGTTGTATATAAAAAAAAAGCCAACCAGTAACATGCATACTAAAATATTTTATAAAAGTAGAAGAAGTCCCAAATTTGAAATATTATTGATTATGTACATACAAAGGCAAATACTATATTAGCATCATATCAGCCTTTAATTGCCCACTGCTGAACATAACCTGCCCCATAAGAGGGTTTTGCCAATAATAGTCACGCTTGCCAGACAGGTTGGTAACAGCAGTTAGGCTTTTGATGATATTTTAAGAGGGACGCTGCTACCAATCCTTGTACCATAAGTTTCCTTAATCGTTTCTTACGATATTCACGGAAAAGGAAAGGGTGGTCTATTCTATATTGGGACCATATGGTCAAATATTATATACTTATACATAAATATTTACACGAATAAATATATCCACGACTCTCCCGGGCTTCTCTATTTTTTTAATAAAAAACAGCTCGTGATAATGTAGCTTTCCATAGGTGATTAAATTTTTAAAATCGGTTTAGTACTTTTGAGTTTATCCATTAGTTTAAATACTACAAAATAATAACCCTGTAAGTTCTTATTTATTAAGCTTAAATGATCACATATATTTTTAACTGCACCGTCCTTTGTGCTTTTGTTGCTATTTCTCGCATTGCTACAGAAAGATACTTTCTTAATAAATTCTGTGCGAGTACTAAGGCATCAATAGATTTTTCCTTTTCACTGCACTGGTTTTATAGCTCTGCCGCAGTAAATTCTGCAGAAAAAGGAACACAATAGTGTATCTGTGGCTACATACTCCATTTCTTCATTCTTTCTTCTAAACAAATAAATAAAATTCTAAACTCAGCAGTAGAATGATAAATACTAACGACTTACAAGACTTTGTATATAAGTTTATTTTAATAAAATTAATTTATATTTTTTCATTCTATTTTCTCTAGAGGTTTATTTGAGTCTGTCTTACTTTATAGTCTACTACCTAACTTGTTTATTCTCCTTATATGTTGTGCGATAACGTTGAAATTCTAAATCGGTTTTGGTAGTTTTTTTTGCAGTCCATAAAGTTACTTCTAAAGGTAACTAAATATAAACTAATTAACTTCCATAACTACAGTATAAACTAGCTTTTACTCGCGACTTTGTCCGTGTAACTGGAATAAAAAGTAGCCTATAATCTTCTTAAAATTTTATAGCAAATGGTTACAAACTCACTTTCACATTTATAATCTTAGTGAGGATATTAAAATGTGTATGTTTGTTATTGAATCACGCTTAATTTGTACGTAATTTAGTATACATATGAATTGTATCCTAAATTCATATTTATATGATACTATGGTCTTATTCACGCAGGCAAATTTGCCAGTTTTTTTTATACTCGTACAACTTAGAATGGCAAACAAGCTGACGACCCACCTGATGGAAAGTGGTAACCGTCGCCTATAGACAGGAGCAGTATCATGGACATAACAAAGTATACTGTTTCGCCCATGATACTCCCCATGCGTTGCCATTCCTGAGGACTCAGGTGTTATTCCTCCGTACCCAGTATAATTACGCCATATACAACTGCTTTACGGTTGAAACACGAATGGGACAGAGGTACCCAAGCAATCGACTTTTGTACAAAGTCTCCCTCTGGTAAAAAATTTGCCAGTTATAACAAGCATTAAATAACAAGAAAAGTCTCGTTATAGAAAAATATTATTATGAAAATGAAGCGTATCCATAGCGGTAAAGCCCCATAATGGTAATATAAACAGAGTAATTTATTATATACTTATTTTAGAAGGTTTTTTGCAGTCGATTTATTATCACCTATATTAGGGTTTATATGTTGTTTCAATATTTTTATCTATATTTATATATAGTATATTTATATATTGTGTCAATCTATTTGTGCTTATCGTTTTGCTCTTTTAGGAGCAAAACAATAAAGTGAATTGTAACTATTTTATGTTACTATGACACACATACGAAAGAAAAAATTATGTTACTTAAATTTTGCTTTTTTTGTATATATTATATATTATATATATATATATATATATATATATATATATATATATATATATATATATATATATATATATATATATATATATATATATATATATATATATATATATATATATATATATATATATCTCTTCTTATTGCGTATGTTTATCTATGTATGTTGATGTTTCTGTGCTGTAAGTAATGCAAATAAATTATCTATCTATCTATGTATGTATATTCAAAAGTAAAACTTTATAACAAAATCCTATTAGAGATAACAAATAATCTAAGAGGTAACATAAAGTGTATCATTTTTAAATATAAAATCACTAGAAACAACTAAAGATAAATAATAGTATTTTTAAACTGGATCAAGTTTCCAAACAGAAGTCTCCAAACATTGGTCGAAATATTTAGTTCCACAAAACAAAAATTACCGACTTCAATGACAATATTTTATATTTTAAATTAACAATCAAACTACTGAACCGATTTTAATGAGATTTCTATAGAACTAATCTGAAAGTATATCCTTTCAGATAAAAAAAGATGAAATTTCCAAATCGGTTTCTTAATGAGGTACAAATATAAAAAAAGTAGAACCGCATTGAAAACTAATAACAACAATGTCCTTTTTGTTGTTTAATTCTATGAAATTTGCTTACTGACTTTTATTTCTAAAATTTATGTTATAGATTTGCTTAGTTATATTATATATTGTTTTATTATATTACAGGTTCCCAAGGGGTCCAATATACACGTGTTGGTGGGAAAGGGATTGTTACTAATGGAGACTGAGAATCCCATTACTAGCAATATACCCAACCAGGTCGACCTCCACGCGGTTCTCCTTGGAAACTATCATGGTTAATTCCTGATGAATTCATCATGATGGGCTAACTGGCCTGTTTTCATTCTCATCTATCACCCTTCACTGGTGCTCCGCCAGCGTATCCCATTAGCGCAGGCGGGGTTACCATACTATTTTCACCCATCAAAAAAACAATATACACGTGTTGAATAATCCTTGTTTAAAGTCGGTTAAAACAACATATAAATTATAACATTTAATATTGCTTGTTTCAGATATATAAATACTGCATAATCCTGATAGTCAAGGTAAAAATTCAGAAATAAATATTATTAGAGAATTGTGTATTCTGTCAGTTAGCTTATTTACCATTTTAAGTTAGATAAACAATGTACTAATGAATGGCTTTTAAATATTTAGATGCATAATTTCTATTAACAGTATGGTCTAAAGGTTGCTTTAAACAAGTTCAAGTTTACGAGTACCATTTTGTTAATAATTTTTAATTATTTTTCTGAACGCCTAGTATCTTTTTTTTTTTTTTATTTTTTTTTTTATGCAACTTAGAATGACAAACAAGCTGACGGCCCACCTGATGGAAAGTGGTAACCGTCGCCTATAGACATGAGCAGTACCATGGACATAGCAGACTATACTGTTTCACCCATGATACCCCCCATGCGTTGCCATTCCTGAGGACTCAGGTGTTATTCCTCTGTACCCTGTAAATTCACGCCATATCCCACCCTTCAAACCGAAACACAGTCATGCAAACACAACTGCTTCACGGTTGAAACACGAATGGGACAGAGGTGCCCAAGCAATCGACTTTTGTACAAAGTCTCCCTCTTGCAAAAGTCTATAACATTGGTTATTTAATCAGAATTATTTTGTTTAATTCTGCTACCGTTAGTATGTGTGAGACTGCCAACATTCGAAGATAATAAACTAATGGTAGCGGAATTAAACAATTAAACAATAATAATTCTAATCAAATAACTAGTTATTAAGTGGTTCACTGTGAAATAACTAACCTATTAACAGTTATTAGATAATATACACAGTTAAATATAGCTTGCTAATGCAAAACCTTTCAAATACGAAGAAGCATTTCTTTGTTGTAATTTAAATAGCAAACGATAATTATACACTGTATTTCGTGGGAGAATAACCCATAAAGCTCTGTTATAACGATTAGTATACACATGTGAATTATACAAGGGCTTCACGCACAAGCAACAAGATAAAAGAGCGGGCAAATGTAAAAACAAAAAAATAACAGTTATTTCATTTGGTTTGAGTCATTGTACTACATAAATATAATGTAATCCTTCTTTTTGTTTTTGGGTTTTATAAATTATCCATAATATTGTAAACATCCTCTTACCGTTTTAACAACTCAAGTCATGAAACTTGGCATAATTTTTTTATCCTGATCGCGCAGATAAAGTTGCGAGCAAGAACTAGTTTATACTAAAATTATAAAGAGGAAAAATTTTATTGTTCGTTTGTAATAGATAAATTCAAAAATTACTATGCCGATTTTGAAAATATTTTCACTTACAGAAAGCTACATTATCAGCAAGTAACATAGGCTATGTATTATTTACGAAAATTCTATCCGTGCAAAACGGGGCCCCATAACTAGTAAATAAATAAACCAGACATAAAGTTTTTATAATGATAAATGATAATAATGATTCTGCCAAACATTTCGATGGTTGCGATTTTAATCCTTGGATAATACAATTTTATCTTTCATAAATATGTCTGTACCCTTATTAGCCTGAACGTTTACTATTTTGTATCTATAGACAAAAATTAATTTGACATCTACTAACGTAAGTAAACTCCACTAATTGTAATAAATTAACATTTTGACATTCCGTTCCACAAAGAAAAATCGATTTCAATTGTGACAAAACCATATAAGTTATATTCGTTTTTTTTTATGCCAAATTCGTATTTTTGTTTATGCCAAAATCGGACCAATAAATGGGGTTTAACATTTCGTTCGTCATACATCCTATCAAAAAAGTCCAAAGGAACAATATTTAACATTTTTAATATTTCTAAACGGCATGTATTATGTAATTTTAACATCAAATTTGTGTTTCGTTTGGCTCCGAAATTTCGGAAAACATTTCATGGTAGGGCCATTTCAGGTTGTGAAAGTCGGTTCAGTAATAAGCTTCAGAATTGGTGAAGATATCCCGTAATATGAACGACGAAAAAAAAAAACAGAAAAATTGAGAATTAGCTACATTTTAACTTTGCCTGAAAACGATTTAATGTCTCATTTAAGTACATTTTCTCGTTTTTAAATAATCCACATACTTTTCTTTATTTTATTGATTTATTTATTTATTTTGAAGAATAATAAAAAAAAATAAATAAATAAATAACATCGACTCTACTACATGTTGATAGTTTATCTAGAGAAATAACTGTATAAATATAAATAGAACATAATACTACTATAATACAAAAATGTCACAAAATATAGAGACGAATTGAAAATCCCCTTTTTAAAGTCACTTAATAAAGACGTTCTCATTGCACAAATTACAAGAGACGATCGCGAAACGAACCGCCCCGGGGATTAAATAGCTCAAACACGACTCTACACTTAAGTCGCAATGTAAATTTTATTTACAAAAGTCAGATTCCTCGTTCCTATAAAGCTTAGGTATTTAGTATACTTGGGTTACATCTAGATAAAGAGCGTTCAATACTTCGATTAAAAGAGATGATTATTTTTTTCATTATATTAATACTTATACTAGCTGTTGCCTACGACTTTGTCGTATACGCTTGGTGTCGTGTTAATACCCATTCTCGTTGCCCTTTAAATTGAAATTTTAAATATTCCATTTTTACGTTATAAAATAAACCGAAATTCCAAATTTCAGCTTTCTAAACTTAATAGTTTTAGCTGTATATTGATAGTAAATCCGGACAAATGATTTTATAAGTATAGATAGGGCATACTACTATTATAATACATACATAATTTCATTCATTCATTCATTCATACTATTTGTACTATACAATTGGTGTGTTTGCGTGACATTAAAAACAGTCATTATCAAATCTTCTTATAACTGACTTTTATTATAAAAGTCGTTGTTTTATTTCTTTATATTTAGATGCTATTAGCAGTTTCCTGTGATTTCACTTGCATGAATCAGTATATAAAGTGTCCTATATACTTTTTATAGTATTTTATTTGTCATTCTTTAAATTGATATAACTTTTTTATGAACGAATTGAAATAAAACAAACACTAAATATTAAGTGGAGCAAACTGCAACGTATTAGTGAACATCGCATCCAAATTTCTGAGACTAGCGTACACAAACATACAGACAAAAATCATAAATATCATTGTTTTGGATTCTATTGCGTTCATAAAGTCCTATATAATATTTTTTCTTATATATTTTCCATATACAGATAGCTACGAGTTACGATATTATTATATGTATTGATATCTAATTAATATTATAAATACAGAAGTTTGTAGTAATAGATCCATCCATATGTTTGTTACTCAACTGTTTTATTGTTGTAAGTGTTTTGTTGTTGTAGTGTTTGTAAAACAACTAAATGGATTCGAATGAAATTTGGTAAACAAGTAAGTTATATCATAACATAGTACATAGGATACTGTATGTAATGAGAGCGGGCAAAGCTATGGAAAATTGCTAGTATTAAATATTATACTTTAAGAATTTTGTACACTGATTATAGATTGAACATAATAAAAATTTACAGCATCGTTTATTTATACTAAATAGTAGGTATGAACAATAAACGATGCACAACCAATAGCTCGGCTGACCGTATTCTGTGGCGTTTTTTAACACTCGGCGCTCCATCTATACGTGTATAGTGCATGACCTGAATATGCATTAATTTCATTTTACGCAGTGCAGTAAAATCTGTACACAATGACCGCGTTTTTAACTTTTTGTCGCTGGAAAAGCATTTTTTAAATTATCTCTGCATTTAGGAGTTATTTTTCAAACATTTAATGTCGCGTGTCGTAAATATGTAGTACGCAATCGTCTCATCGGATCTCAATAAATATGCGTATGGCTGTCACAGCATGTTATAAAATGTGCATCTTTATTGCAATTGTTCCAATTGCGTATTTTTAGTTTGTCATAAATGGAAATAAATAATTTATTTATATACTAACTATAAATAACTACCTGCTTTTTCCTCGCAAATATATATTATTATCTCTAGTAAGTACCTATTTACTAAGAATTGAACAAATATTTAAGTATTAGAAAATTTATTATACATTTAATATGACTTGATATATTTTTCCTGAATTCAAAGTAGTATTTTCTTATAATATTTTCTTTTACTTTTTGTTTATAATATTAAATTAATAGCATTACAAATATAGAAATAGATTTTCATATTTGATGTTTATATTGCGTGTGGTACCGGCGTAGAACCCCTTTCTTTCCCCCTGAGTGTCATAAGAAGTGACTAAGGAAACTTAATAGTCGAGAAATGGGTAACAGTGTCCCTCTTAAAGCATGATCAACCTGCTTGCCAAGCATGGCAACTACTAGCAAAACTCCTCAATAGAGAGAAGTTTATCTTATTATTATTATGTTCAGCAGTTAACAATTAACGTCTAATATGGCATATATATATATGTTGCTATAATTATGTCACATATTTTTCACCACATCTGCCCTTCATACGCTTTCTGTTTTTACCTAACGCTTAGCTGGTAGAGAATACCATATGGCATTAAGCTCGCCATTTGTACAAAGTTTTATCGTGCAATAAAGAACAAATAAATAAATATATACTTGGGTTAAAAAAACTTTGTAATTAAACAATAATTGCGTAATTTACATTCTCTGTGATGATTCAACTAACAACATATTATCTACTATATATCTGTATGATAGTACCATGTAAATAGCTAGCTTCAAAGTTCTAATTAAATCATAGAACGTATGATTTGCACAATAGCTCGTTTCACGTTTACAAGATTCGAGACACTAATTCAAATCACGTTAATTACCTCGTCACATTCAATACAACATCGCTCAGCCTGTAATTGAAATATTGTAATAATGAATGTACACGATTATAGTAACATTACACTATAGGTATACTAACCAATAGATGGAATTGTGTTCTAATGTCTTAATTTTATTACTCCACTAGACTCGCTCTTGTTCTATTTTTTCTGACTATTATATAAGAGGGATCCTCTTACTGTTTTAATAAGTAATCGTAAAGTTGAAATCAATATCGTTCCAAATTCAATTTT